CACGTCAACTCATCCTGAGCCCTGAAGATCCTTCACCTATGCTTGGCAGTTCTCTCTTTGCTGCTCCTGGCTTCCCCAGGATTTTTAGGAAGTCGTTAGTCTGCACCAGGCGTCCTATTGGGAAGACCCAGTTTTCTGAGTTCATGTTCTGGGAGTTGTTCAATAGGGGCAGTACAGGATTCCTTTTGGTGAACTGACCTCCCCGCTGCACCAAGGATTCCCTGCCTGAGCTGCTTCCTGGAGACACCTAGTTTGGTTGTCCTAGGGGATTTTAACATCCAGATCTGCCGCAGTCATGTTTCAGAATGAAATAGCTTGGATCAAATTGAAATTTTATGAGGAGGATACAATGCCCAGGGGATTTATCCCTCAGGTAAATAACTCACGCTTCACCTGTCCCCACCAGATTGCTGGATCCTTGCAGTTACCTGAAGGAAGAGCATTTTCACAGGCTCATATCCTAAAACTATTATTAGTTGTAGTCATAATAGCATCAAACAGTTCTTTAAAAAAAATATCCAAGTCGACCAATTGAAGAGGTTGAGTGGGCACATGCAGGGCAAGGAGATTTCAAAGGTGAATTGATGGACTCTTCATCTTACTTGAAGGAAGGGCAATCTTCACCTGTCTCCTCCTCCTCCTTCTCCTCTTCCTAACTCACCACCACCATATCTCCCAGACACCTTTTTCAAACAGGACTCAAGACAACTTTAAAAATAATTCAAAACTGGAGGGGATCTTCTTCTCTGCTTGCTCCACCTGCCATTTCCCACTCTGCACCCCATAATAATTGGCCAGCCTGTCCTTCCTTTTCTCCTTTCCACCCTAGAAGATGACAGATCCCCCTTTCTCCTTCCCAACCCTGTTTCTGAAGCCGCTTCACTCTTCTGTTTAAAACCCCCTGGAGTCGCTGTCAGTATGGCTGTAGATTGGGGGTGATGGCATCTCCAGATCAGAAACATCCAAAGGGCAACAGGTTCAGGTCCAGTCCTGGTACTTTCATGCCAAAGGTGCTTGGAACTGAAAGTGGGACACTTTGCATGGAATATATGGGAGCTATCTTAGATCCTGAGCTATCTAAACAAGGTGGAGGGGGACGTTTTATGCCTCTGCACAACCATGCCTGCTGACACCTCCTTCTCATACAAGAAGTGAGGCATGCATGGCTTATGAGTTGTAGAGAAACTAAAGCCTGTAATTGTACTCATCAGAGACTCAAGGACTACCCAGAAAAAAGGCTCTTTATTGCATCAAAAAACCCTTCCCACTAATTAGACGCTACATGCGCCAAATTTCTTGAGAGACTTGTGGAAGAGACAAATCTAAATATTATTTTTAAAAACGTATTCCACAGAGAGGTTAGGCTGGCCCGATTTTGGGTTCCGCCAGATTTTGTGCTGCGTTAAATTTGACAGAAGGAGCCTGTTGCTTTAACATCTCTAACCATGGTGTAGCTATTCGACACCTGGCAACAGAAAGAGAGAAAGTAACCCATGTTCCTGTCTCTACCTGGAACGGATGGGACATGTCTTGGTTGACTGAGTGGCTTAGAGGACTTGTAATGATGTTAATGGACTAATCTTGCTTCTTTTCTGCTCCTGTATACCCTGCTTAAATGCAATGCTTGCAAAATATGATGAGTAAAATGATGTCACGAATGATTCGGCCCCAGATTATAACACTGACATGAGAATACCAGCCAGTGCCTTGGGACGAGCCATAAGGCTGTCCAAAAGAAGAGGAGGGAATGAAGGAATGGGTTTCTGTGTAGTAAGTTTAAAACTGACTCAACCCCCCCCCTTTTTGTTTTTTCAAAAGAGAGCACTTTTAAAACTTGAGCTGTTGAGCAAAAACATAAACGAGCTCTCTCCTTTATCAGTCACGGCAAGGGATGGCCTTGGCTCTCTAAGGGAACAAAGAAAACACGTCAGAACTTTATCTTGTGTGCTGACCACAAAATACGCGCAAGACCAACGTCCGGGAAAAACACCAAAAGCGTGTTCCTGGAGATTATGACATCTTCCCAGACAAGAGTAGGAAGAGGAAGATCCTTTTATGGTTGAGAGTACCAGAGCAGGAACATATGTGATGTCAACCTGCGTATACAAGTTGACGTGGCTGGGGAAGGGGGAGAGGATGCCTGGAGGATATATATACACTGCGTGAAACTTGTCATTTCTTTGGACTTACTGTGGACTTGATCACGCAAGTGCCTTCTGCTATCCAGAGAGCAAAATAAACTCTTTCTTTCAACCAACTCGGTGTCATTTGGCTTCCTTTCTCCTTTCCCGGAGCAACGCAGACCCAGTCGGTGAACTCCAATAAGGCTACACTGGCTGTATGCCAAGTTGGAAAAATGACAGTTTCATGTCTCAACAGTAGATTTCCTGACATTTCTCCCCGTTGTTGATTCACCCTTAGAGTGGTGTGGTTCCTCCCCTCTCAGCGGACCTCTGAATCTCTTTGTTGTTTAGGCTGATACACCTTAGCTTTCACCCTGTTTTACATCTTCCTCCTCCTCACACTTCTCTCTCTTGGAGTTTTGCTCCATTTTGAGTGTTACGCTTGCATTACGAGTGTTATGCTGAGGACTGTCTTTTTTCCCTATTTATTTTGCCTTTTTGTTTTTGAGGCACTTTTTTGGAATTGTTTTTCTGACTGTTTGGAACACAGTTCAGCTACTGATTGATGGATTGTGGGTTGGCAGTACATTGTTGATTGTTTTCACTTTATGAAACAATGCTCTCATTAGATAGTAAAATTCATGTTAAATTGATGTTTTAGGGGTTGTTTTTAAAAGTCTGGAATGGATTGATCCATTTTGCATTCATTTCTATGGGAAAGGGCACCTTAGTTTTGGAACGCACTTCCGGAACGGATTAAGTTATATGTATAGCCATTCAGCTAAATACCCACCATTTAAATCTTAAAAGAGTGAGCTCTGTTGCCATAGAGAGGAATGGATGTGCATTCTCTTATCTCACCCGACTGGATGCCATGGGATCCTAGGATGAAGAATTCTTCCTGGTAGGCACATGTGCATGCAATTATGCCTAATATACTGTAATGAGTGGGCTTTGTGGGGCTAGTTTCTGTAAAAGCCTGGGCTACTTCCCATCCTGTAATTCTGTGGCTGGAGGGGCCTAGAATCTATAAGAGGAAATTTCCAGATCTGGTCTGGTCAGTTTAATAACTCCAAAATTCAAAGACCTGTGAATTTGGAAGGATGACTATATTTCAATGGGCATACTTTTTCAAAGAGTGCAACTCAGTTTGGTTACCATTTAAAGGGAAACTGAACAGAATTTCTTCTCCCTCTCATTCCACCCTCCATATTTTGTCACTCTTCATTTTCCACATTGTGGTCCAGTCCCTACTCGCTAGACTGTTTGAGAGATCCTCACCCCCTTTTAGTTTTCCGTTAATGATGTCTTAGGCCTCTGCACAACCATGCCTGCTGAACCTCCCTCTCATGGATGTAAGGTGCCATTTTGGCTTCACTAGCAAGAACACTCATGCTTAGAAATGAAAACAGAGGGGGAAAAGGCTTTTGGATCTGCTTTTATTGCAAGGCACAAGCTCAGGTAAGCCTTGAAAATGTTGCTTTTTCAATCTGGATGCTTTGGAGAAGAAGTCCCTAGCTGGGGATCAAGCGGGATCCAGTGGCTCTCAAAGAGAGGGAGCATCTTCCACTTTTCAAAGGCATCTATCACTCCTCCCGTCTAAAACATAGAAACCAGCAACAAAAAGACAACATTAACTCAGTTTCATAGCAAAGTGACCATGTTTGAGACACGAAAAACAAAGCAAGGCATGTTGGACCACAAGAAAGATTTCATGATAATAAACCATTGGGTAGGGATAGGTCTGTTTCAGTTTTTCATTTCCAGTAACTATGAATTACATAGATTCACCTTTCAATGAGAATTGAATCCAATCTCTTGCCCATCCTTATCCCTGGGGGACTTTCTTTTCTAGGTACAATTAAATATGTCACAGAATAGTGAGGGGCTTTCAAGGTCTCCAATATTCTCCTGCAGACTGGATGTTATGCACGGCAGGGATTTGTTGTCTTTGTGGCCCTGAAGAAGAGTTCAGGGTTAACAGGAAGCTTGCTCACCAGTTTGTGACAATGTTTTGAGAAACAGGAGAGATACTGGCACCCGGGGATTCCTTCAGTCCAGTTGCTAATTTCTCTGCCAGGACCCAAGATAAAAGTCTACTGCCTCAGGTTCTTTCTTTAAAAGACAAAATAATAATGAATCTGCTTGGAGTTGAAAGTGGGAGATTTGCCTGGAATGTATGGGATGTGAAACTGAGGTAATCTTAGACGGTGGAGAGCAGGACACCACACAGAGTAAGAGCCCAGCATCTGTTGAAACTGCAGAATAGACATCCCTTAGGCACTGAGATAAACAATGGATGAAGCTGCACAACAAATTAAATGTGCCCATACGGTGTGGTTTAGGGATTTGGCAAAGGAGATCCGGCATAAGCTCAGAGGGCAAAGGGGCCAAAGACAGCTGGACCAGCCATGAGGCAGGTGAGGACCCTGCTTCTGGTGGCAGAAGCCCCTCAAACAACAAACCCATTGGTGCCCCTCCTGCCCCGCTGGTTCTGCCTGTGAGGACAGAACCCGGCACCATCTTGCTTAAAATGGGCAACAATGGTATTGCCGCTTCTGTGCCTGCAACCAACAGGGTATGGTGTGTGTCAGCGGCAGATCAGGCCATGGCAGGAGGAGCAGGTAGATGGGCTTAGGAGCCGTGCTGGCGGAATGGCAAAGCAGCAGTTACCATTTTTCATCAAGCGGCAAAATGGGATGTGCCACCCTTGGCTGATTCTGGCATAGGTATTTTTATTTTTATTTTTGCAATGGAGCAATTGAGCTTGCAGGCAAAGGATGATCAGTTTAGGGGACTCTGCATTGGGTACTTAAAATGATCAATCCAGAGGGTAATGGGAGAGGGGCAGGAGGTGTTATTCTCTTTTGGTAAGCTGAAATTACCTTCTGCAACAGTAAGGCATAAAGTAGCACCTTCCAATTCTTTCATAATTATTGGGACAACGTTTACGGTAGCAAAGACCTTTGGCTTGACCGCATTCAGCAGCATTGGTAGGTCCCTCATCTGCTGATCCTGTGCAAAGAGAGAAACAAACATAAGTGGGGAGAAGGAAGTTAATTCACAACTGGGTGAAAGAGAGGAACAACTCCATAGCCCTTTGAACAAGAGAGGTTCTGTGAGGCTCTGGGTGCTGTGGGATCCCAACTCCTACCCCCACCCCCACCCCTGCCAGTGGCCACTGGTGTTTACCACCCTTTCTACATTCACAAGAAGAAATGGTAGATGTGCTTCTCCAGATATTTGCTCATGAGTGGAGGGTGTCAGTCCACAAAACACGACAGCAAGACACATGCCTTATAAGTTATAGAGAAACTAAAGCCTGGAACTGAAGCCATCAGAGCCCCTAGGACTACCCAGAATAAAAGGCTGTATACTACATCAAGAAACATTTCCCCACTAATTAGAAACTATATACCCCAAATTTATTGGCAGCCCAGTGGAAGAGACAAATCAAAATTTTATTTTGTAAAACATATTCCATAAATTTGCATAGAATTCCATAAAATCTAACCAAACTGAGAAAGGAAGAGGCTACTTTTGTTTTTCCTTACCAGTTTTACATGCAAAGCCATTTTCCATATATTAAAAAAAGGTAAAGGACTGTTTTGACAGTTAAGTCCAGGTGCAGACAACTCTGGGGTTGCGGCGCTTACCCCACTTTACAGGCTGAGGGAGCCGGCGTTTGACCAGAGACAGCTTCCGGGTCATGTGGCCAGCATGACTAAGCTGTTTACCTTCCCGCCAGAGCGGTACCTATTTATCTACTTGCACTTTGATGTGCTTTCGAATTGCTAGGTTGGTAGGAGCTGCGACCGAGCAATGGGAGCTCACCCGTCGTGGGGATTCAAACCGCCAACCTTCTGATCACCAAGCCCAAGAGGCTCAGTGGTTTAAACCACAGGGTTACCCGTGTCCTTTTTTCCTTATATTACTGTGCCATAATGAAGACAACATGTGAACATCAAAGCACAGCCGTCCTCTGAAAGTCAGCTCTCCCTCCAAGTAATGTGTTTAAAAAATGTACCTGAAAAGTGTAATTTCATGACAATAGCATGAAAATATAGGTTATAATAGGGAAATTGCATAGCAGTTATGGGCATAATGGGGGAAATTCAGCAACACAGTGCATATTTTCCCTAGTAGACACACTTTGGTAGGCAATGTTGTCGGATATATACATTTTTTATGCAAAGAATTACCACAAAAGAGATTACCACTAAAGAAACGTCTCTAGAAAGAAAAGTGAGCTTTCTTTGCAAGGCCACAGAACAGCAACTGTACTCCTCTCCCTCTTCCACCCCATAATAGGCTGGCAAGTGTTCCTCTGTCTTCTTCCTCTCCATCCCTTACCTGGGGAAGTGAGGAGCAGCAAAGAGAGAACTGCCAAGCACAGGTGAAGGATCTTCATGGCTCAGGATGAATTGTGGTGGCAAAGCCGAATGCCGTCTTTTAAGCCAAATGGAGCCCCGAAGGTTGCCAAGAGACGACTGGGAGGGAGAAGCAGATTGCATAATTTTAATTTCTTTGGGACGTTGTGACTTAGGCTGACGTGGACGAGAATGTTGCCAAAATCACGTGCCTCTGGAAAGGCATTCCTGCATTCTGTCAGTCATAGCAGTTTCCACAGAAGTAAGATCACAAACATTCAGATGTGCTGTATTCATGTTTCAGAGCGAGATAGCTTGAATCAAATGAAACATTTATGCTGAGGATGCAATGCCCCACATAGGCAGTGCCCGGGGGATGTATCCCCCAGGTAAATGACTCACTCCTCACCTGTGCCCACCACATTGCTGAACCTTTGCAATTACCTGAAGGAAGGGGACTTTTCACATGCTCACCTCCCACAATGATTATTCTTAGTAGTAATCAGTGCTTTCCCCCCCTAAAAAATATTTTGGGGTACTCTCATTTTCCTACTCATATTGAAATACTGCTCCTCAATCTGGCCAAAATTAGATTCACAAAATGTTTAGAGGCATGCGCACGCCTGCATCCCCCCAGGAAATAGCACTGGTAGTAGCAATAGCTTCAAACAGGTCTTAAAAAAAAAAAAAGATTCAAGTCCATCCTTTTTCTCAAACACTTTTTTCTAACTAGACTCAAAGCAACTTACAAAAATATTTTCAAACAGGAGGGGCTCTGCTTCTCTGCTTGCTCCACCTGTCATGTCCACTCTGCACCCCATAATAATTGGCCAACCTGTCCTTTCCTTTCTCCTTTCCACCCTAGGAGATGACTAAGCCCCCTTTCCCCCTTCCCAACCCTGTTTCTGAAGCTGCTTCACTCTTCTGTCCTGCGCTCCTTCGAGTCGCTGTTATTTTTGGCTAAAGATCATGGGTGATGGGATCTCCAGATCAGAAGCATCCAAAGGCCTATGAGTTAACCTTCTCTGCTGTGAGGTTTCATTTCATTTCATGCTCAGGCCTGGTGCTTTCATGCGCAAGGTGCTTGGAACTGAATGTGGGACGTTTTGCATGGAATACATGGAACCTAATCCTCAGCTAACGGACGCAGGTGGCACTGTGGTCCAAACCACTGAGCCTTGGACTTGCCAATCAAAATGTTGGGAATTCTAATCCCCGTTACAGGGTGAGCTCCCGTTGATTGGTCCCTGCTGCTGCCAACCTAGCAGTTCGAAAGCACGTCAAAGTGCAAGTAGATAAATAGGTACCACTCCGGCGGGAAGGTAAACGGTGTTTCCATGCACTGCTATGATTTCACCAGAAGCGGGTTCGTCATGCTGGCCACATGACGCAAAAAACTGTCTGCGGACAAACATAGGCTCCCTCAACCAGTAAAGCAAGATGAACGCCGCAACTCCAGAGTCGTCTGCGACTGGACTTAACTGTCAAGGGTCCTGTACCTTTTAATCCTCAGCTATTCAAACAAGATGGAGGGGAGAAGATCACACAGAGCAAATGTCCAGCAGATATTGGAGTTTTAGGATGGACAGTTATGGTGATCCCTTTCCACTGAGATAAACAATAGATGAAACTGCATATTAATCTAAACAATCAAATACCATGTGATTGAAGAATCCGACCAAGAAGAATTGGCAAAACCTAACAGAGCAAAGCAACCAAAGACAGGTCTGATCCCAGAGCCGAACAAGCCTTGAGGCAGGTGAGGACGCTGCTCCAGGTGGCAGAAGCCCCCAACCAGGCACAATGCCCATGGGTGCCCCTCCTGCCCTGCTGCTTCTGCCAGTGGAGGAGAAGCACCAGTACCATCAGCATTGATTTTGTGCTGCCATTTGGGGGAATAAGGGATGTGCCACCCTAAGCTGATTTTGCCATAGGTGTCTTTTGCAATGGACAAAGTATGAAAACAACTGGCTGCGCAACCAATTAAGCATGCAATCACAGGACGATGTATTCAGGGACCACTTAAGTAATTGATGCTTTGTGTAACTAATGGAACAGGTAGCTGGTACTCACTGCTCTATGAAAATGACATTCTGTGTAATAAAAAGGTTGCATTAAAGATACGTTGTACTACCAGTGGTTGTTTAATTAATGAAAAACCTAATTAAGACAACTATAAATCTTGCAGGCTGTATAATCAACCTACATAATGACTATAATGAGTTTTGTTTTGGTTAATGGCTCTAAGACATGGATGGGAAGAGGGAGGGAGGAGAGATGAGTTTGTATTGATGCAGTTTTTACATAATGGAGGAAATCATAAAGTTTTAATGGAAAACTCAAATGGATATAGCAGACAAATGCTATATTAAAGGAGGTTAAACTGGAATCAGATAAATGATCATCAACTTGTAAAGAAACCTGTTGTTCATGTTAGCAGGCATCATAAAAGTTTTCCAAGTTATACATAATGAAACTATTTTCTCAGTTCACTGGCTCCCTTTGCCTAAATCCGAGAAGGGATGTTCATTTAGGGTGGTAGCCTAAAGCTACTCAGATCAGAGGCTCCTGAAAATGATTGATCCAAAAAATGCTACAAGAGGGGCAGGGCGTGGGGAGGAGAAATGATACTTTCCTCTGGACACTTGTTTGATTCTCATTCGCCAAGCAGAAGTTCCCTTCTGCAACAAGTATACCGTGGAGGATAGCTCCCAATGTCAGTGAAGACAGCAGGACAAACGAATGGGAGGCAGATGCAATCAGTTTGTGACAGGCCAAATCCTGTGTAGAGGAAGAACAAATACCATGGTCCACAAGTGAAAGGAAAGTTCATTCAGAAGAGCATGAAACGGAGGCACAACCTCATAGGCCCCCCTAAAATAAACCTTGGCTGGACCCTTGCATTTACCTGAACGAAGAGCACCTTTCACAACAATAATTGGCCAGCCTGTCCTTTCCCTTCTCCTTTCCACTGTAGAGGATGACTAAGCCATTTACTTACTAACTTACTTACTTACTTACTTACTTACTTACTTACTTAAGGTAAAAGGACCCCTGACCATTAGGTCAAGTCATGGCCGACTCTGGGCCTGTGGTGCTCATCTCACTCTATAGGCCAAGGGAGCCGGCATACAGCTTCCGGGTCATGTGGCCAGCATGACTAAGCCGCTTCTGGCGAACCAGAGCAGCGCACGGAAACACCATTTACCTTTCCACCAGAGTGATACCTATTTATCTACTTCTCTTTGCCATGCTTTAGAAATGCTAGGTTGGCAGGAGCAGGGACCGAGCAATGGGAGCTCATCCCGTTGCAGGGATTCGAACCACCGACCTTCTGATCAGCGAAGCCAAGATAACAAAGAGAAAGAGAGCTCAAAGTCTGTTCTGGTAGAGAGTTTAGGCACAAGAAATAGAAAGAATTAAAGCTGAGAGCGAAAGACTTAAGGCTGAGAAGGAGAGTGAAAGACTTAAGGCTGACCAAGAGAGTGAAAGACTTAAGGCTGAGCAGGAGACCGAAAGAATTAGGGCTGAAAGTGAGAGCGAAAGAATGCAATTTCAGTTGGAAATGAGGAACTGGAATTAGCAGCTATGGAGAATCAAAATAATAGTAATAATACCAGTACTCCAACTCAAGTGAAGGTAGATTTAAAGCGCTTTCCTGAGTTTAAGGAAAAAGATTGCCCTGAGGCTTTCATTATACCATTTGAAAGAGCTTGTCAAGACTTTCAAGTAAAAGATGAGGACAAGATGACGATCCTTAGAGCCAGGATCAGTGGGTCATTAGCTGTAATTTATTCTCAAATGTCAGAGACCGATTAAAATATCTTATAAAGGAAAGACACCCTCAATCACTTCAAGAAGCCGCTAACTTAGCTGACCAAATAAACAAAATAAGGGACCATAGGTTTGATGAACCAAGTTTTGGCGGGAAAGTGTGGGGGACTAACAGAAATAAATTCCAACAAGCAAAGGGAAACCCCTCTTCAGAGAAAGACAAGGGAGATAGGCCATTGTCAAAAGGGCAAAATGACAAGGCCCAAGCCAACGCCAGTCTCACTGAGGAGAAAGGATGGAAAACAAACTATACAAATCCCAAAGAAGTTCAATGCTGGGGATGTGGAAAATTTGGCCACAAAAAGATTTAATTGTAGATCTGGAGGAGAAAAGTCTGGTAATATAAGCCCTCAGAGAAGAACCTTTTGTATCAAAGAAGCTGAGGAGAGCCAAGCTAGTCAGGACAGGCCGAAGCCTGCTGAAGTAGGGGAGGCTAAAGTGGCACATTGCTATGCTATAAAACAAGATAATCTTCTTTTAAAAAATGCTGGGGAAGATATTTGGATTGAAGGGAAGAGATTTCTGGGGTTATAAGACACTGGGTCTCAAGTCACTATTGTCCACCCAGAGATCATCTGTCCCACCAAAATAATTCCAGGGAAAGTTATGTTAATTAAAAGGAATTTCTAAACACCCTGAGGTATTACCAGTTGCAGAAATCCATATTAAATTCCAAGATTGGTCAGGGAAGTGGCAGGTTGCTCTTTCTGAGGAGATTCCTCAGAAACTACTGTGCTGATCGGATGGGATCTCTTAGAGCATGTACAGAGTTCTTTTGTAGTTACTCGCTCCAAGGGTTGTAGCACCCTGCTTGTGGTTAACGCTTAGCTGGAATGAAATATTCAACGCAGCAATAGAGAAATTAAAATAATAATTTATTTGTCAGACAAATAAATGAGAGGCACAGTGGTATATGGTTACCAAGCTCTGGCCTGGCCTCCTGCCATTATGGCCAGCACTTATATTCCCTTAATCCAGCCCCCTTTGCTCCTCCTTGGGCTGCCTCTGTCCAATCAGCCTGGTTGGATTTCCTATTGGCTGATTGCTATAACCAATCCTAAAAGATACACCCAATCCTCCTGTCCTTATATGGAACACAAAGAGCTATATATTGTTACATCTATAAATGACAAATAAGTAGTAATATATCTTACATGTGTCTCAACAAGGAATCTTAATTACCAGCTCACCTCTTGCCCTCCTTGCCCTATTGCCTTCTAAAACAAATGGTTAATCTTAAATTTTTATCTTAAACATATGTCAAGGATCTTGAGTTTCACATCAACATTGAAAGATCTCCTTCATTTGAAGGTTTCTAAACAAATGTCTGACAGCTATATATCAGGACTGCTTGGATGGCGTCTTCTTGTCTGGCAGGGGGGCTAGGCTGGTGGCTGACTTAATTTCAAGGATAAACTACAACTATATGAAATAAGAATCTAGCATTTCTTAAATCCTTTGCATAATTACATTTAAGCCAATATATTAAGCTAATATTCATACATTATCATAGGTAACCTTTTAAAAGAATAAAGCTTCTCAAAGTAGAAAGGAAGGAACTCAGTAAAAAAACAGTTTTTTAAAGAAGCCTCTTTAGTTTACACCCCCCCCCTCTTCAGCCAGTTGCTTTTCCCATTAGATCTTCCCAACATTTATTGCCCTTACTAACTTTCTCAGTTTAAGAAAGAAACAGCTTTAAAAAGAGACTTCCCATAAATGCTTTCTTTCTGCCAGCCAGATGCTTCTCCATTTGGTCTTTAACCTTGGAAAGAAGATCTGGCTCATTTTACTGGGAGGCACATTGGTATTATTTTACTATTTACTCATTCCTAATTATATTTATCTCTGCCTTTGTTATCTTCTGTAACATGTAGGGTCAGTGTCCGTTCTCAGCCTGTAATTTCAGCTTTTACGACTTTGAGAATTGTTTTCTGCTATAAATCAAGGGGGGGCCCCTTGTCTTAGGAGAATGGCCAAGGTTTTCTCTGCCTGGCATGAAACATTTGAAAATCTTTAAGCTCTCTCTTTAATATACAAGCCCTGATCAAACATTAATAAAATGCAGGCTTATGCCTGATGCCTCATTCCCCCCTTTCAAGCTCAAGGACCTTCATCCCAAGTGTCCTTGATAGCTTGACCTTCATCATATTCCTGAGGTAAAGCTCTGTATAGGGCCATGATATGAGGTAGAGTTTCATTTGAAACCATCTTGCTAATTGTACTTCTAAAACATGAAATGATACATGGCATCATACATAAAACCATTACCACTACTGTCAAGAAAAACAAGCAAGACAATAGTATCCCTTTGAGTCCTGTGACATTAGGTAACCAATTGGTGAGCCATCCCATATCCCATCCTTCCCATGTTTGTACTGGGACATGTGCTATATTCTCCATCTTTGTGGCCAACACACGGATTGCCTCACCATTATCTGAAATGTTAAAGCAACAGGCATTCCCTGTCAAGTTCAAGACTCCACATAGGCCTCCCTGCCTGGCAAGTACATAATCCATTCCCATTTTCAGCTGCAAAATGGCGGCTCTACTTTCATCCAACTGTTGTGCAATAAGTCTCAAACTCTGGGCCGTTGCATTGGTTACAAGTTCCACTACTGCTTGCAATCGAATTATTCTGTTTAGATTATAAATAGGATCCCGTGCCCCTTGTATGAGCTCACCAGGATTCCAGGAGGCAGGATCATAATAGGCTATAATGCGCTCTGGCGGCCAATCATCAGTACCGCTCCAACTTTGGGTACTTCCTCCTGCTATACGAGAAATATCAGCGTTTCTTCGTGTTCGCTTGGCCGAACTAGTGGGCATAATCCACATTGGTGGTAATACCCATCCCAGGAAACAAGTCCCACTCCATTTGGAAGGGAGTTTCTTGTATGCCCATTCTCCACATATCCACCACAACCATCGGGTCTGAGGTTTTTGGTACGTGGAGTACAGAAGGCGAAATATCAAAAGAGGTAGAGAGTTCACAGTGCAGTATGTTAGATTGCCTTTTTCTGTCACAGTTATGTTCCATACCACTTTCCATGCATGAATAAAAGGAGGTGCACAGGGCAAGGTATTCCGAGTTCGATAGGTAGTACCGTGTGCCCAGGTATGACTATTCTTAATATAATCCCAAGTATAGTGACAATGAGAAGAGCCTATCATGGTAGAATCAGCTGCATCTGATGATTTATGTACACAGAATTCCCCTTGTACAGGTATAACTCGTAATGGTTTAGTTGAGTTCCATCCGGGGAAATTCTGTATTTCTGTTTGGTGTGGCATTTCGCTTACCATACCAATGGCATCTAATGGTATCGGTAATAAGGGCATACCTCCCTCTGAATCATCTGGCCCAAGAGAGCAAACAAGGCAATTGGTCCTATTTGCAACATTGGCTACCATTTCAGCTAAACCTACCCACATATTGTGGTCATGGCGGAATCCATATTTAGCAAATTTGGTCAGATTCAAGGACCCTTCCCCTTCCCAAGGGATCAGGATTAATAATAAAATCATGTTGATGTCTAGCATATGCATTCCTTCCACAAAAGATTACCTTATTGTGATAGCAAATAAATATTAGTCCCAATATAATTCCCCCAGTGACAGAAATGGGGAACCACCAAGACCAAAACATATATCCCGAGGATCCCCAATGAGTAATATCTCTGATAATTGTTCCACAAGGGGGGGGCAGTCAATCAATTGTATAAGAGAATCTTCCTTTCACAATCGCTGGTTCAGATGCTCCTCAAGCTTCAGGCGTGCGCAGGTCAGCCAGCTTCCAGGTTGTGGCTGCAGCAGGCCGGTCGTCTAATGTTGCCCGTGACCTAGCCCGTTCCCGGTAGGGCTAGATACAGGGGTTTTTGGAGAGAGTCAGTTTTAAAGGATTAGAGGGGTCACCTTTGCACGTCCAACTGCCTTCAGACTTCTTCAAACGAGAGTGATGAATCCAGGGGGTCACCTCAGCTACCTTCACCGCTGTTGGAGTAGAGAGCAAGACGGTGTAAGGTCCACGCCACTTAGGTGCAAGTGGATCACGTTTCCACTCTTTCACCCATACGCTATCGCCAGCCTGGAACTGATGAATCGGCTCGGCAATGCTGCACGGCGTGCGCTCGAGGACCCACCTGTTAAGAGAAACAAAAACACGGGAGAGAGATTGCACTTGTCCCTGTGTCACATGGTCTCCTATTTGTTTAAGATCAGCTGGAATATCCTGAACAAAGGAGGGCGGTCTCCCATACAGGAGCTCAAAAGGTGACAACTTAAGTCTTTTTGTGGGTGCACACCGAACACGAAACAGTGTTATGGGTAACACATCTACCCATCCCAATCCCGTTTCCTGGGTTAATTTTGCCAATTGGGTTTTCAGAGTCCGATTCATTCTTTCAGTTTTCCCTGAACTCTGAGGCCTATAGGCTGCATGCAGTCTCCATTTCACTTGTAGGACTCGACATACTTCTTGTACTACTTGATCAATGAACGCTGGCCCATTATCACTTCCAATGCATCTAGGTAATCCAAACCTCGGGATCAATTCAGTGAGGAGTCTCTTAGTTACCTCTCGTGCCTTTTCAGTTCGGGTGGGAAAAGCTTCAACCCATCCGGTAAGAGTGTCTACAAACACAAGGAGATACTTGAATCCCTTAGAAGGGACCAGCTCTGTGAAGTCCACAATTAGGCTTTCCATGGGGACATATCCCACATGTTGGATTCCAGGAGGTTGTACCGGTCCCTGCCTGGGATTGTTTTTAGCACAAAGAACACATTTCTGTGAAATGCAAGTTGCTAATTGTGATAGGTTAATAATATACAACTTCCGACTGAGACTCTCTCTGGTTGCAGTACCGCCAAGGTGAGTAGATTCATGATAATTTCTTACAATTGTGCCTGCTAGGTGATGAGGTACATAAATCCTATTGTCCGGCAGGATCATCCAACCGTCCTTCACAACTGCTCCTTCCTGTTCAGCCCACTTCCTCTCTTCTGGGGTATAGTGAGGTTTAACTTCTTCTGGAACTACCTCTGGTATGAGGGCTGCTATAAATCCTCCCACAGGCTTTTGGGCTGCCTCTCGGGCTGCTTTGTCAGCAGCATGATTTCCTCTGGTTATTGGATCCCTTCCTCGTCCATGACCTTTGCAGTGCATTACAGCAATCTGTTCTGGAGCCCATACTGCTTCTAACAGGATTTCTACTTCAGGTCCATATTTCAAGGCCTTCCCGTGGGCTCCTATTAGACCTCTTTCTTTCCATAGAGCTCCATGTGCATGCAGGGTTAAGAAGGCATATTTAGAATCAGTATAGATGTTTGCCTTACATCCGGCTGCCAATTGCAGAGCTCTAGTTAAACCTATAAGTTCAGCTTTTTGTGCTGAGGTGCCAGCAGGCAAAGCTTCAGCTTCCACAACTTCCTCATTGGTGACCACAGCATATCCTGCTCGTCTGGCACCTTCATGCAGGTAACTGCTACCATCAGTATAATATACAACATCTGGATTTTTCAATGGTTCATCTTTCAGATCGGGTCTACTGGAATAAACTTCATCCATTACTTGGAGACAATCATGTGATTCCTCATCATCTACCTCTGGTAGGGGCAGCAAAGTCGCTGGATTGAGCATATTCACTACTCGTAGATGAATCCTGGGATTTTCACACAATAGGCCTTGGTACCTAGCCATCCTTGGGTTCGTTAGCCAATAACTAC